TGTTTTAGATGGATTAGGGATCAGCTGGTTTTCCCTGTAATAGGCAGTAAGAGCACCTAGAGCTTTGGAGAGGGTCTGTTCTACCATCTCAAAGCTCCCTGCTTGAGCAGTAATGGCACGATCATCAGCATAGATGAAGCTCTCTGTCCCTTCTGGCAGTGGCTGGTCATTTGTGTAGATGTTGAACATGGATGGAGCAAGCACGCTCCCCTGAGGCAGGCCGTTCTTCTGTTTCCGCCATCTGCTTCTCTGGCCCTGGAACTCAACAAAAAAGCTCCTGTTTTGTAGCAGGTTTCCTATGAGGCGGGTGAGGTGGTCGTCCTTTGTGATACTATACATTTTTCTCAGGAGGAGGCCAAGGTGGTTCACAGTATCATAGGCTGCTGACAGGTCTATGAAGACAGCTCCGGTGATCTGCTGCCTTTCAAAGCCATCTTCGATGTGCTGAGTCAGGTTAAGCACTTGCGATGTGCAGCTTTTGCCTTTCCTGAAGCCAGCTTGCTGTGGAATCAGACATGGGTCTATATTTTCCATAATTCTATGCAGAATGAGTCTCTCCAGAACTTTGTAGAGGTGGCACAACGGTCTGTAGCTTTTTGGGTCATTACGGATATTTGCCTGGCTTCAAGGATGGCGATGACTCTTGCTTTCCTCCAGATTTTGGGGATCTGACAGGATACAGTGCAATTGTTCATCAGCTCCAGTAGCCAGCACTTTGCTTTTGGGCCAAAGTTCTTGATTTGTTCCATCCGTAGATCTACGGATGGATCTAAGGGATGATCACAGCTGACCTCCGGCTAGAGCGCTCAAGGGCCAGGGCTTCCCAGTTCTCGGTATCTATGAAACAGCCCATCTTTAAATCTCTTTTCCTGTCCACCAACCTTCTGTTTTCCATTCTTGAGTTGGCAGTATAATAACTGCTTTGGCAGGTGGTGATCTTTGGGCATTCAGACAATGTGGCTAGCCCACCATACACTTTCATCGTCATAGGCGATGTGGCCCACAAATATGATTGCCTTCTATCACGCTGTATCATAGAATCATAGAATCAAAGAGTTGGAAGTGACCTCATGGGCCATCCAGTCCAACCCCCTACCAAGAAGCATTCAAATCACTCCTGACAGATGGCCATCCATCATCATCATCAATTGCATTTCTATCCAACCTTACTTCCCTTAGGAGGTGGCTCACAATCGAGTGATAGAACCCTAGAGTTGGAAGAGAACCCAAGGGTCATCTAGTCCAATCTATAAGAGAGAGAGAGATAGATGATAGATAGACAGACAGATAAATAGAATCCTAA